GGAGGAGGAGGAGGAGGATCGGTGTTGGCAGCTCCAACGCAGCGCCGCGCATTCGCTCATTTTCTCGGCCCAAACGAACCCGAAAAGGAGCCAAAAACGCGCGCCGCTCGTTTGTTTGATGTAAGACTGTCACCTTTCATAGATCTGACATACTCCTCCTTTTTCAACCGTGGCCTGACCGCCGCTTCTTCTCACCTCACTGCCTCCACTGCCCTTCACACCACTCGGCCACTTTCTCTTCGGCATGGCATCGACACGCGGCCACCTGCTGGCACCGGAGCAACTCGCTTCGGTAGCCTCTGCGATCGAGCTGGTGTCGGCCATGTGGTCCGGCACGGACGAGCTCGAGATGAGCGCGGCCGACGAGCGCACCGTGCAGCTGCTCGCCGACTACCTGCAGCTCGGGCTGGACGAGCTTGCGACGCCTCGGGCGCAGCACATCAAGGACAGCATCGGGGATGCGGTGGTGCTTGCGCTCAAGGTGGGCGTGAGGTCCGAGCAGAGTCTGGTGGAGAGGAGGGTGAGGGTGAATGTAGAGTTCCGTCTGCGCGCGCAGGGGTGGAGCATGTGGACGAGCACCAAGGAGGCGCCAGCGTGGCTGGATCGAGATGCGATAGACCGCGTCAATGCGATACTGTCGACCCCAACCGCGCAAGAAAGCGAAGAGGAGGAGGAGGATGTGGTGGCGAGCATCCTGGCTAGGGTGGAGGAGGTTTCCGAGTTTCTGCTCACCATCCCGTCTGCCACCGAAACGGAGCAAGAAGAGGTCAAGGAGGAGCCAGAGTCGACGCACGTCCAACGCACGTGGTACTACCTGCCCTCGCTCTCGACCAAGTCCAAACGCGACGATATCTGCACACTCGCCTCGACGTCGACGCCTCGACTGACCGGATTCCTGCTGGCGGGCAAGCCGGGACTGATCGTGATCGAGCATCCGCTCTCCACGCCCAGCCCAACCGATTCCGAGTCGCAAGCTGCATCCTCGGCGCTCGATGCATTCTGGAGCACCATCAAGCGCGAGTCGTGGAGCGACATTCCCTCGTCGCACAAAAAGATCTCGCAGCGGCTCGTGGAGCCCAGCACAGGGCGCGCATTCAGCACGTTCGACGACGTGACCGACTGGCCCGAGCTCGAACGCGCCGCCGAAAGAGGCCGACGCAGCGACCTGAGCAAACTCATCCGCTGGCTCGACGCCAGAGGTATAGCCGGCACCCAGTGCCTCGAAAGCGTCCTGGGCGTCGGCAGCTGGGATGCCTGAATCGGGGCTGCACTACGAAAGATAAAGGGCAAATGGCAAAGCCGTCGTGTGGAATTCGATGACAAGTGTGTGAAGAAGGGAAAGGCTTAGTTCTTGCTGGCACCGTGGTCTTCTCCGCCCTCACCGGCTTCTTCGGCCATGGAAAAGTACGACCACTGCCCGGGAGCAGGCGGGTGCTCGAGCGGCTCCCAACTGTCCAAAGGGTCGCGAATGAGAGTGCATGTCAACAAGTGCGATGAAGTATTGTGCTGCTTTCTACGCAAACTTACGCCTTCCAGTCGACCATTTTCGCTGCGAGCTTGTACTCTGCCTGCGCCTGTTCGAGCACCTGTTCGAGCTGGCCGGCGTCGATCTGGGCCTCTGCCTGTTCGTAGATCTTCTCGAGCTGCTCGGGCTGCGTCCTGACCTTGTCCGCCTCGTTCTTTGCGCCGAGGACGACGTCGAGTCTGTGTTGGGTGAGCGCCATGGTGGCCTGTCTGTACACCGACGCCTCGGGCATCGACTTGAGCACGTGCAGCGTCTGCGTGTAGCGCGACTCGAGCTGCTCCAGCGGCGACTTGGCCACCTCGACGCCCGTGATGTTGGTCGACTTCTTCAGGCGCGCCGCAAACGGAGCGGGAGGCGCGTGCGACGCAGAGGGCGACGCATGGCGCAGCAGTGTGCGTGCAATCAAGGCGGTGCGTGTGGCGTGCATCGTGAGAGAGAGTGTGTGTGGTGGTGGAAGTGAGGATTGGTAATCCGAAGCCGAATGTTGGAGATCGCTGTTCGGCTCCGCACCAATCGCACCCCAAATCGTGATCGCTTTTTCCCTAGCTGTTTCTTTACGCGATGTAACACCACGAAAGATCTCGACTCAGCATCTACAGCTCACACACTGGATGCTGTTCGCCGTGCCCATCACAACCTCGCAAGCAAAACGTTGGGAATGAAGAATCCTATGAACACACTGCGCAGATATACAAACAGAATCCAACGAACAGAATCCACCTCGCAGATACAGCGATCTTGGCACTGGCAAGACTAGAAGTCTCCTCCGCCAAAGTCGTCGCCGCCTCCGCCGTAGTCGTCCTGGGCGCCGTCCTGGTATCCGTCCTGGTAAGCGTCGTTCATCTCGTGCGAAATCAATGCACCGCCGAGCATGCCGGCACCGAGACCGAGCGCGGCACCTCCTGCCATGCCCATGCCGCCTCCTCCTCCGCCGCCGCCGAACCTACGGCCGCCCATACCGCCCATACCGCCCATGCCGCCCATGGGACCACCGGCCATCATGGGCTGCTGCTGGTACATGGGTTGCTGCTGGTATCCACCGTATGGCTGCTGACCGTACTGGGGCTGACCATATTGCTGCTGAGGATAAGGCTGCTGGCCGTAGCCACGGTTGTCGGGAGGCCCACCGGGTGGAGGAGCATAGCCGCCGGCAGCTGGCGTGCTCGACTTGTTCTCATCGCTGGGATGGACCCAGATGGATCGTGGCGGAGTGGCGCGTGTGTCGACGTAGAAGTAGCGCGAGTAGTTCGAGTCCCACTGCTTCACCCATCCCTCCGGCAACGGCCGATCGTCGTCCTTGGGCTTCTCTTCACCCTGCGGCTGAGGAGATGCAGCAGGATAGCCAGACGACTGCTGCGGTGGAGCTTGGTTGTACCCGCCACCGTAGTGCTGCTGCTGCTGCTGATGCTGCTGATGCTGGTAGGGGGGTTGCTGACCGTAGCCACCCGCACCGCCGTACTGCTGCGAAGGAGGCCGTCCGGAGTTGCCGCCGACTTTGCTTGCGAGTTTGTCCAATAGACCCATGTCAAGGAGTGAGGAGAGTGTGTGGTTTAGGGGAAGAGGGTGGATGGTGTTGGGGGGACAAGGTGGCCACGTTGATGGGTGCGAGAGGGGCCCATCCGAAAAAGGCTTGGCATCGCATCGCATCGCATCGCGCCGCATCGCATCACATCACCCCACGCCGCCGCTGCCAAAGTGGAGGCGAGTTGGCCCGGTCAACATATTGAGACAGGCTGACGATACAAAGCGGCGATGCCCTGTGCACAGCCTCTGCAGCCTTGGCTTTGCAACTCAGCACCGGCTGCCCCCCCGCCGGCTCCAATCTAACAAAGTTTCGTTGGCGAGTCTAACAGTTCGAACGTCGAAGGAAATTCCTCCACTTGGCTTGGCGAACCCACACCACACCTGCTTCACGACCGATGCAGCTCGTCTTCAGGACAGCAAAAGGGAGGATGATGGCATTGTAGCGATGGTGTCAAGCAATTCACTGCTTGACAGTGTCCTGGGCAGGTTCTTGGGGCACGAACTCTCTCCACGAGTGGGCGTTGGCCTCCTTGTTCTGACGGATGATCTTATCGCCCGCACTCGGAATCTGGGTGATAGCGGCCATGCCCACCAGACTCGCGAGCGTGATGCCCTGCGCCCACACTCGAGCCTGGACGAGCTTTTGGGCGAACGTCATGGGCTGGGTGTGGATGTATGCAAAGATGCCGCCCATGCTGGCGGCCCAGGAGGCTGCGACGACGGAAAACTTGTTCTCCTTGGCCCACGTCAGCGCCTTGTCGCCCGCCGACAGCTCCGCCCACTGTCTCTCCTCGCGCGTCTGGGCACGACGCTGGATGGCTGCACCCGCATCGGTGTAGTGGTCCTGGTCGAACTGGATGCCTGCTTTATCCGCGCGGATCACGCCCGTGCCGATCGCGATGGACGAGACGAAGAACAGCTTGATCGCAGGTGTGAGTGCCCGAAACGCCGGCCAGCTCCGGTTGAGAAGGTATGCGCCAGGCGCTGCACCCGCCAGTCCAAGTCCAAAGCCTTTGGCAGCAGCCGATACCGACGCATTGTATTGTCTACAAAACCCCCCCAAAAGCAACGGGTCAGCATGGCTGGAGGGATCGTGGAGCAAGGAGAAAGGGAGAACTTACGCTTCACGACGCTGAACGTCGCCCACATCTCGGTGTGTTCCATACGACATGGTGATACCTCTAAGAATGCTGTGATGGTGTCTAGGTCGAAGAAAGAAGGTTAGGAGTGTAGAGCTGTTGGTGGGTTGCGAGTGAGCAAAGTACGGCGAGCCTCGGGTGGGTGGATGTGTGTCATTGCGCCAAAGAGCAAAGTGGAGGTTTTGGCCCGAAATTTCCCAACGAGGCGGGCGCTGCAGATCCAAAGCCGATGCCGCATTCCATTCCGATTCCTCCCTTCCCGCTCTTCTTGCCTCGCTCTTCTCCGAACGAAGGATCCAATCCCAACCACCCAAAACTCCTCCGAACCATGCCCGACAAGCCAGAGTCGGTCGGCACAGCTCGGCATCCTTGGTTCGGGCCCGTTCTAGACCCCGACTTCGGCTGCGGTGCATCGTCGGCCGTCGGACATTTGCGGACCGCCAATCCACACGTGTCTGCATTTTCCGCCCCCATCCTCCGCCAGCAGCCGAAAATATTTCTCCCCCCCCC